CTAGTAGCTTCTTGTTACTACTAGTATGGCACTTGTTACTAGTAGCGATGCACTTGTTACTACATGTCGACTTTTCGCATGGTGCAGCGATTTTCCACCGGTGCGAGTTGTGCGCGGGAGGTGCAAAGGCCTCCATATTGGGCGCATCCGAGTATCATTCAAAGAGAAGCTTTTCAAACATGCCTTGGAGCAAAACATGATAAAGACATATGCACAGAAGCAAGACATCACAGGACAAGCAAACTGACGTAAATTGTCCACAGGAGTGTTTTTTCCGCCTGGGAAGGTCTTGGTTGTGGCAACCTGGTGAGCGGAAGTGAAGTACCTGCAACAGCATTTATTCACAGGGAGTATAAGCGAAATGTAATGTCCTAATGGCTTTTTACTTTAACTAAAAACTGATTATTTGTCATATGTATATATTATAATATACGTACAGTAATACTACAGTATATGTAACTAGATTCATCATGTTTCCATCTGAATGAGTGCAACCAGGCCTCCAGGGATGGTGTGCAGCTCCCAGGGTCCACGGTACCCACATTGGTAGCCTACGCAAATCTGCATGGAGACTGGACTGGTGTCACTCTGCGTGTAAGCAGCGTGTCACGTTCGCGCAAGAAATTGTGCGGCGCTCTCGCCAAAAAGCCTGGAGCAAGGCTTTGAGCTGGAAATGCGATGTCCTGCAATCTGGCTTCGGGAAAGTCAAGTTTGAAAACATCTGCGCGTGCGGAGAACCCTTAAAACATCTGCAAACCATGCACATGGTGGACCTGTTTGTCATGGTCTTGTTACTGCAATTGCCCCATTCCCATCTCCCAGATCAATATGAAAATACCGAGACCGGTGTGAAGGCGTTTTACCCCATTAAAGGTCCTGAGTTTGAGCTCGGAGGCTGGGGACCTCACCTTGGATCGCGATGGTGGGTGACGTGGCCACCGCAAACGGCCAGAAACAAGCTGCTGAAATCCCGTAAACAATGAAAGTCATTGCAAAAAAAACGCCGGCGGTGTCATATGTCATATGCTACAAGTACAAATGGTTCGTTTTGCAGTGGTATACTAGTAGCAGTGCAAATTACATTCTGCTCTTGGCTCTTTCTCTTGGATCCAACATGCTACGATAGTCTGCCATCTTGGAACAAGTCACAGGTACGATAGTCTGCCTCAGGTGGCTCTTCGCTTTCGGGCTCTGTGCCGGAAGCTTCCTCCGAGGTAACACATTGAACACACGGATACCTGAGCAATGCTGAGATGACCATGAAGTTGCTTGTCAAAACTGAGATGACCCGAATGTCTCTCTTTATCAAAATGCTTCGCTTTCTGGCCAGTACATATTCAGTGATATGCTGCATGCATGCGTGTGATGTGCATTGCTGCTGCTAGAGATAATGACCCTACTCACGCATCTTGCAAGACAAATCACACCATCCGTTCCACCACAGGTTTCTCTGCCATCTCAACTTGCTTCAGCAAGGCGTTGGGGTCGCCGTTCAGGCTCACTTGCACAAAAAACGCTAGGAGCTGCCTCACTTGCTTTGGAGACGCCCTTTTTATCCCAACAATTGAGCTGTGAATAACATCATTGGTATATAGGTACCACAAGACGCTATATCAAATTAATCTATGATGATAAGTTTAACATGATAATTATGATATTACTGAATGTGCGGTCTGTGCCATTGCAAACCATGCGCCGCTACAAGTTCCAAAGGGCTGAGATTCTGACCTCTTGGGCGGTGGCTGCACGGAAGTGAAGCAATGGGATCTCAACGATTGGCGACTCCCAGCGCGCATCGTTGCTAGCTTGGCAACGGTGGAGGAGTTGCCGCAAGTCCAGCAAACCATCTCCAAGGTCAGACGATTGAGATAAATCCACCTTGACAAGAAAGCGCTTTGGGAACTTAGTCCCCAAGCCTCAAGACTTGTTTTGCCAAAACGACTCTCGCCATAAAGTGCATTCACTCAACTTGCTCTCCTCAAAAGGGATCAACACGGTGTATCAATTGGGTGACGGCACAATACTACTGGTCAAAAGGAACCGAAAATGCTGAAGCCTCCTAAGACTTGGGTGAACAAACACCAGCCTTTGGCATGCCAATTCTCAGACGTGTGTTAATTGTCCCTAAAGATCTAGAATCACCTATCATCGTGCAAGCTCTTCTCCCGCGTCCAGTATGTAGTAGCATAAAGTAGCTAAGGAGCGAACTTAGCCTAGGAGGTCGCTTACTTCATGAAGTAGGAGGTCGGTCGGCCAAAGAAAAAGGAGTCCTGTCCTCTCAGTCTCACCTGGAAGAGTCCGAAGCGGAAGTCCCTTTTCCCCTGCAAATGCACATGTAGACCAGCACCCATGAGGTCACGTGCACGCAGCACGAACGTCAAGGTATCACCAAAGTGCCAGTTGCAGTGCGCTTCGCCCGCTTTCGGGGCGAAAACGGCTGGCTCCTGAGAGCCCGTCGGCGTGCGGGACATCAATTGAGCATATAGCATATATCTTCATATTCGAGATCCACGTGTTCTTTTTCAAATCGATGAGAAACCATTGGACTCATTTCTCAAAGGACACTTGGTGGGAGCAGTAACAATGAATGCCAATGGAGACCAAACTGTTCGTCTTTTCAACTTCAATGTTCTGGTCTTTCTGGTGTTCATGATGCTTGACGCATGACTTGCAGCCCTCCGTGTGCTTCTCGCAGTCTGCCAGACGAACCACCAGCTGGGGCCGCTGGGACCAAATGCCCGGCTCGCTCGTGGGCACTCGAGCACCATGCACGTGGAGAAAAAGACGACAGCCCTCCTGGTGGAAGAGTGATCTGCAAACTGTGTCAAGTGTTTGTCAAGGGAGCCCTCATTCAACAAAAGAAGCATCTTGAAACTGCGCTCTATGGCCAAAGAGGAGTCACGAATTCAGCTGAAGGTCCAGGCAAAGGAATGACTTTGAGTGCTTTGTCCACTTTGTCCCTCCTATCAGTTCTAAGCGGGCCTTCGGCTATTAAATTGGGAGCACCAATCCATTCTCCCAGACTGCATCGAACAGGGTTGACTGTACTGGTTGCTGGGACCTACTCCGATCTGCTATACACAGGTGTCACAGTCACACTACCCTTTTTGAGACCTATCTTGAACAAGAACCATTGCTATCCTTGTCCTGGTCTTGGACTTCAACACTAGACAGCCCACATGAGCCTTCCAGCATTTCAGGCTCCTCCTCTTGAAGAGAGCATCGCGGGAGGTTGGCATGACAAGCGTTGAGGCTTTGCCCTGTAAAGACCCCCGCAGTGAATGTTGCCAATGACTGCCTTGTCAAGCAAACTGGACTGGACATCAAAGCAAATGCTGCTGTGGGTTAAGCTCTTTGTCATGTCTACAATACTTTCGCAAAACACCTCCTGTTGCCCAGGAAGTGGAAGCTACATCTCGCCCCACAATATCGTGGCCATCGTGGTAACTGTGTCTAAATCCCTTCCCTGCCAAGTGACAGCATCCCTGCGCATAGCTAAACGCCGCAATGTTGATCAAACTCAAAAGTGTAGCTAGGGGCTAGGGATGCAGTTTCCAAGATCACAGGGAAACTCGGAATGCTCGGAGAGTCTGATTCGGACAAGGCCGGTGGTGTGGCTGAGTCTGTTACAACACATTGCAACAGGCTGCTTCTGCGCTGGTTCGGAAAAGGACTTGTGATGCCAATAGTATTTTCCATGCGTGAGACTGCAAAAAGTTTAAAAAATAAACAACAGTGCAATTGATTGTGAATTCTTGAGTTGAGTAGCAGCAGCGGCAAGGGGCAAGTACAGCAACTAGTCACTAGTCCATAATCCAGCGCACAATGCTCCTCTCAGTCTCTGTTTGGCGTTATCTTTAGAAGCTAACTTTAGAATCCCACAATGCTGCAACGTTTATGCCCTGACAATACTAATTACATCTCCTTTGTATACAATTGCCTTACAGGCTGCATAACGGGAGGCCGAGCCCCTGCTTCCTCACCCTAGGATTATTCGCAGCTGACTTTCTCCTGCCTCCGTGCCGACATCCCCTAGACTACCTCACTTGAATTCCTCAAGTCTTGCTTTTGAAATGTGGCAATGCTCAAACAAGGTGCTATGCAAGATTCTTGATTTGATGCACAGGAAACCAGGTGGATTGAACATGTATGAATATGTGTGAATGGGTCCCTGCCATTCTGCTGAGATTGAGATCCCTTTCGCATAGCTGATGAACACCACAAACACTGGCCACATCTCATCACTCATTGGAATCGGCACTTGCAGCCCAAGATCAGCTGCGAACCGGCTGATCATTCAATGCACGAACCAACGAACAAAGAAAACGTCACAGTTCGCCAACTCATCGCAAGCCGGACACGACGATCTTTCATCACTGGCTTCACCACATGCTTTCAGTCAATTTTTGGCCATCCACTGAAAAAAAAACACACATTAATATATAGTATATTTCAAACATATTGAAAAGGCAGCATTTATGCTCAATGGATGTACATGAGTGGTTCAGCATGATTTTTCAGCTGTTTGTCTTCCGAAAGAGGAATCCTACGTAGGTATTGACGATGAACTATACTCGACAGATTCCGACAGTGCGAATTGATTGCATGCGAAGCGCCCAATGCTGCTTCTTTGCGGAAAAGAAGGGAAACAACTCTAAAAGAGTACTGGCAGTTGCTGGGCCCCCCTGCTTTTAGCGATACCAACATCTCAGCACTTGAGCACTGGTGAGCATCAAATGTTGTTCCTATAAAGTTTCAGAACTTTCCCAAACAGCTCCAGTGGAAGCCTCTCGGCCTAAGTAAGGCTTCACTGGCCAGCCCTTCCCCAGGGAAAGAATTAATGCAATATGTACCGGCAGCCTGGTTCAACATCTCTCCGCATGAATGACTTCCTACATGATCCCACCAGTTGTCAGTGGCATGTACTCGGTCTCTCCAACCTAATAGCGATGGCCCTTTCTCATTCTTAAGCATCTCAATTCATTACTAAGCACCAGTTGTTACGCTGCCGGTGCAATCGCCTTGCATTGCTCCTCAGCCTTGGCCAATCCACGCAGGGCTGCAGCGATGGCAGTGGCCACTTTCCGGCGCTTCTCGCTGTAGCCCGGCGGCCGCGACCGCTCCGGACTGGGACTTTGGCTCTTCTCACTGCGGTTCAGCTCCACTTCGTCGCGCACCGCTGGGACTCTAATGGTCTTCACCACCAGCTTGGCAGAATCCGTCGGCTTCACAGTGAAGTCTGTAAAGACGTCTTTCCGCTTCGCCTGTCTAGGCTTCTGCTGTGGTGTCGGCTCCAACCTCGATGTGACGAATTGGCAACATCTGCATACACCCAAAGCACAGCAAGAGTTCATCAACATTTTGACACCACAACTGGCCTTTCTGGCTCAGCGCGCGCTCGCCTGGCAGTCAAGCGAATCAAGCCAGAATCCAACATCTTTTATCACATGGTCTTGACTGACCGGAATGGCATATTCCATTGTTCAGTGGCATTGGATGAGACCCATACTTGCAGCACATATCCGTGTGTGAACATGCAATGAGAATGAATCATGGCAATGTCACAAACACGTGGTTGAAAGGGAGGGCTTTACGTGTCTCACCATCTGCAACTCTATCGAATAGGATCAAATAGGTATAGTATAGGAGATTGTAAGAGCCAACTATCTTACCGAACAGCTTTGAATGAACGGGTGATGCCTCTTGCATCAGGCCTTCGGTTTGTGCCACTATCTAAGCAACATTGTGATCATTGTGCACTCACACAGCACTTGCCAAGAGATGCTTAAGCTGCTTCAAAAAATAAAGCTCCCGTCAGTCCCGTCAACCAAGTTGTCTAGAAACACTTTCAAGCGAGAAGCTTCTTCAGTGGGTTAAGAATCAGAAAGACATATCATTAAAAGCACCACAACATATTAGGGGCTTATATTAAGAGCCCCTAGTAGCGTCCTTGCTCATAGTAGCGATGCCCTTTGCTCCTAGTAGCGTCCTTGCTCCTAGTAGCGATGCCAGGAGCCCCTAGTAGCATCCTTATTGAATTGTTCGCAAAATGAGGATGTTCAAGAATGTTCATGTCTTCACCGACCAGGAAAGACTGTCTGACCCTCTCCCCGACCCTCGATGAGCAGCTGCAGCAGCTGCATTGGCTAAGGCCACACCAAGGACCTGTCCAAGTGGCTGACACAGTCGTGGGTGTGTGCAGCTTGAATAGGGAGACCCCCGACCACAGGGTTTTGTTGTCCTGCACAAAAAGGAGCGAACTGTACCAAAGTTGCCGGCGTTCAGGACTTTACAAACAACTACGGTTTAGTTTGGATATGTCTAGACTTAAAAACACAAAAACATATATATATATAATCCCCTGGTGAATTCCAGATAATTTTATAAGGAACTGACTTCAGGGGTACACCAAAAGTCTCTATAAAACGATCAAGTCAGCCTGAACCCCGTAATAAAATGTGGGCACACACCCGAGCTTAAAATAGAGATTCCAAAATATTTTCTCTATAAAACCAGGAATAACATATACATAATAACCAGGAGGTGGAAGGATCTCTGTCATTAACTTCAACTTTCTCTTAGCAGCACCAATGAACATGTGCACCTAGTGCCACCAAAGCGTTGCTACTTTGCTGCTACAGCACGAGTTCATAAGAGTCTTGTCAAAAGCACTGCCTTCGCAACACAGAGGCTCGATGTTGTGCAGAGCGGCTCAGGCTGTGTACCTGCAAAAACAGGTTCTTTCAGAAGCAGCAAGGGGTGACTGAAGAAATAATTGGGAACTCTTGAACACAATGTTGCAGTTTTCATGATTGCACCGATGTGGAGCAAATAGCAGGTTGGTTTCTTCTTTGCGGCTCCACTTGGATTCCCCTCCAGAGGGATGCTCCCTGTCAATCTGTACAAAACTTCGATTGCAACGGATTAATTCGCAAATTCACCATGGCATCTCAAGACCATCTCAAAGCTGCTTCTACCAAGGGTGCAGGCTAATATCTCATGCATGTATTCTTTTGCTGTGAAGAGTCTTGTCCCGCAAGAGAAACCGTGCCACCATGGAAATCAGCGCTTGCAAACATGTCAGCGGATGGTAGAATCATCCATCACACTCACAGCTCGTTGTCATTTCCTGGTGCCAAGGATGCGTTGAGTCATAATCCTTCCCGATTCAACAAATGTTTCGCATGTAGCCATCCTAATTTATAGATCACCGTGTGTCGCTGCTCACGTTCAAGACCATCTTGCACAAATCACCCTCTCCTTTTTAGGCCAGGCTGAAATGACGTTTCCCTGGCACAAACGACCTGCCAGAAAAGGAACGACAAACTAGTAACCTTCAGGGCACTGCAGGTTCGAAGGTTACTCCATGCACTCCGAAAATGCATCATGATCCTTTACAAAGAATGAACGGGAACTGTTGAAGGGTGAAAGGACGCAGGCAAACACTTTGATTCTTACCATTTGTTAATTCTGAAAGGATCTCTCAATTGTCTAAGACCATGGCCAGTGGCTCGCTGAGCCTGTGCAAACAGCCAAAACCTATAGTCCCAACTGAAGGAAACAAAAGAGCCCTGAGCCACACTTGCCACAGTATCTCCGGGCGTAACATTGTTGCCCATGATGGTCAGCAAAGAATTGGAGGGGTGCCATAATTGTTAAGAGCATCGCTTGTGGGCTGTCCTGTAAGAGTGCACCTTTAGTATTTATGCAGAAGTCTCGATTTAAGAACTTGTTCATATGGGATCTACAAAAACTCTCTATTTCTGAGCAAACTTGGCAAAGGCTGCCTCTCGCTCTCTTGCAGCATGCTGCTGCTGTACACGAACCTGCACACAAACACGTTTATGGGTAGAGGGTGGTAGAGGTAGAGTATCCAGTTCTTTGCCAAAATGAATGTGAACAACTGCACGGCCAGCAAACAATAAGATGTCAGGCGTCAAAACCAACTGGTACCGGCTTTAATGTGCACCATCTCAATCGATCTGGTGTACCTAGCCCCAACTGAAGCTATGGGCAAACCAAGGCGCAAGACTGCGCAACACTGGAAGCAAGTGCAAATTGAACAGTACCATGGCCGCCATGGCCTTCATCTGGCAAAGCATGAGAGTGACTTGACCCAACTTGAATCAACGAAGAATATGGAAGAATGAGCTTGCCCTACAGCCTCTGAATGCAATGCCTCTGCGCGCACAGCCAATTCAAAACCTGAGCATTTCAGTCCGGCTTGCTAGGGCTGCTGTGATCGGACATGCATACCGGTCGTCTTAGTGTCATTGAAGTAGAACGTTTCTTTGGGATGTATATGTCGTTCAGAAACAAGTACAAGATCTTCCCACAGAAACAAATGTTGTAGCAACTTGAGATCGCAACATAGCTTTCCTTGTTGCCGAAAGCGCTGACCTTCGGCCGCCAACTCCTGGATCACCAAGGCGAACCCATTCCCAAATCAGCGGCTTCGGATGTCCAACTTGTCCAAATTTGAAACGAACATGAACAAGAAACTTGTTGCGGGCATTTGTACTCAAGACCTAATGACCTAATGACTTCCTTCGTTCTTGAACTGCTTTAGGCCTTAACTGAAGGAAACCTGGCTATTGCAAACCAGGCGTTCTTCTCGGAAGGATTTGGTCCAATTGCCACACCATTGTGCCACTCTCAGCGACCTGCCTTGCCAAGGCGTCGAAGCTGCAGCTCAGTGGAAGTCCCACTGGGGGCCTTCTGGCCTGTCAGCAACGGCAAGGCGTCAGTTACATCTGAAGTCTTTGATCGACCAAGGCAAAGATCTTTTCAGTCAGGATCCAAAATCAAAGGTATTGAAGACTTGCATTTTGTAGATGCAATATTGAGTCTAAACAACTATCTTGAAAGTTTCTTCTCTTCAGCGGTTTCTGTGCCTTTCACTGCACCTCCATGTCGCGATGAGGGCACCTTGCAAATAAACCAGCAAATCAATCATACCATATCAAACATATGTTGTGTATATATAGGATTGTATTGGTATGTATGTGCAGCAATTACAGTGAGTGTCTATCGGGCCAATCCCTTGGGTTGAGCTTCAAGTTCGGTCATGCGTCAGAAAAAAAAAAACACACGCGTACTTAAAGGTTTGGGTGAGGAAAATTCAAGAAAATTGACATTCCACGCAAATTACGAGCCAAGGAACAAAGCCTCTGAATCAAAAAACATTGCTAGAACTAGGACTAGAACTATAAATGTATACGGTTGTTTCTCGGACTATTCCTTGTGGAAACCTTACGTTGCAATCAGAAGAGGAAGCGTTGAGTACTACGATTTCCCCCCGTGTGCCTCCGCCTTCTTGGGCGCACTTGTTGGCCTCAACGGCGCCAATTCATCCAGAACAAACATGTTGCTTCTAACTTTCACCTAGCAATGAGGAAAATTCAATGTTCTTGCTGGGCCACTCAACTTAATTACTGGTTGTGTATGAGTTGTTTTCCAAAATTATATACTACTTGCTTAACCTGTGCTCGATCAAGTTCAGGGCGTCCCGTCTCGTCTTTCATTGTTTGATAGAATGCGCACGGCATGCATCTTTTTGCAGGCTTTACATGTTTCGAATTGGGGAGCCTTGCCACCAACAGTGAACGTCACGGATCATAACAAACAAAACACAAACACCAACGCACAGAAAACAAAACGCAGGAGCCCTTATTCGCGACCACTCATGATCTGAGAGCACCCCGTCCAAACACTGTGACAAGCTCTGTGAAGTGAGGAAGGACAACAGCACTGTTTGCAAAGGGCTGCTCCAACACCGCTCGTTTGCTGATCGGATCCCTTTCACTAGAATACTGGAAGACGCACGACCCCCTGCACTTTTGCAGACTTGCCCATGGGGCACTGTCTAGGGAGCTTTGGGGTGTCATTTTGGACCATTTTGGGGTATCGTTTTATGATGTTGACATTTTGTGTGTCTTACGACATCAAGCGCTTGTAAGCACACACGCTGCGCTCACACTCCACCAAAGAGACAACAACCCCTTTCCGAACCAAGACAAGAGGACAAAGGCGTGTCCTCATAGGCTGGGGCCAGCCCATGAGCCAAGAGCCAGGACACAGCCCTCCAAAGACAAACACAAGCAGTCACAGTCCGTAATTGCCTGTGGCACTTGCAAGAACACATCAGTTCATGAGGCGACGCCCTTCAGACCCTTGAGCACAAATGCTTAGAAGAGTTGCTGCAGCAGGAGGATATACAGTACCAAAATGAAAAAAAAATCAAGGAAATAATGCATGTAACAATAGGGGTATCGATTTTTTGGAAATCACACTCTTGGATGAAACGCCCTTGTATAAAGTAAATGACAACAATTTTGAAACGACTCATATCACTTGGTTGTATTGTTTTTGCGTGCATGCCAAAAAAACAAGACATTCAAAAGGCTTCTGATGGCTCATTGCTGGTGAAAGCAAGCGTCTTTTTACATTGGCATGGACATTGGCTCACGACCTCTTGCTAGGTCACAAGAGTGCCCAATAAGAACACTCCAACACTCAACGTGCTACACCGAGTGCGATCGCCGCATTCCAACTGTATCTTCTTCAGATGCGTCATCGCTGCTCTCACGTCTCATGAGGTTTTGCAACTGTGCCTCAGAAGAGAAGCACAAGGAGACAATAGTAGAATGAAGCTCTTTTATTCGTGTTCAAAGGCCTTGCCAAACCCAATGAGACAACGCTCGATGGGCCACCTATCCGAACTGAAAGAAATCAAGAATGGTATTTCCTGCGCATGTAGCCAAGCAGGTGACAAGGAGACAGATTCACAGTTGAACTCGCGGTACATCTCGGTAGTATGGCAAATGGACCGAAGAAAGTTAAACTGCTTCCTTTGTCTTTCATCATAGACATCCACAAACAAGCTTCAGACCAAATGTCCACTCCACTTGTTTATCTTTGCACAAAGGTTTTGCAACTTCCTGTCCTGCTCCTTCAACCCTCTTGATTTTGCAGCACGCATGGTTTCAGAGTGCACCCCCTTCCTTGCCTCTGCATCTTGGAAGCTCGCTTCCGAATTGACCGCGTCCAATGCAATTCGCAGGACGGGTTCCACAGGAACCTCTCCCTCGCCCGCAAGCAAGTGCAAATGCCTGAGCATCTGCTGCATCCGGGCGTGATGGTCCAACCTTACGCAGGAGGTTGCAGGAATTCTACGACAACTTGATAAATGCAAACATGTCGTCAAGGACTGCGAGCACTTTGACTTAAGTTTGATAGCGCTCCTTTGCTATTTAAAAAAAAGAAGAAAAACACAGTTTCAGTCTGCACACCTTACAAATAAAGAGCTGCTTGGGTACCGGTTTGGCGGTGCTTCACGCCGGCTGGAGTCGGTACCTCCCAGACGCAGAACAAATCAGGAAGCTTGAAAGGCAATAGGCCCAATAGGCCAAAGCACCATCTTGTCTCTATACTATGAACTTCCAGTGCGCTCTCTCTGTCTCTTTAAGTGTTCCGTCATGTTCCCTATCTGTGTATAATTACTAGACATACTCTGGACTATCTCTCTGCCATCCTATACCAACCCAACATCATATCACTACATCCCCTGCAACTATACATATAATAAGTATAATATATATATAATTATATATATATATAGATCACTTCAAAAATCAGTACTTCTGAAAACCCCAGCCTGCGTGTTCGTCTGTCGCTTCGACTACGGACGTGTCAGGCGGGGTGTCGGTGTGGGAGTAGGTGCCATGCAGGACTGGCGGTCCAAAACCAAAGTCCATGCCCATGTCCGGAATGGTTGCAATGACATCCATTCCTGGAGAACCGCTGAGAATGAGGTAGTAATGTGGAATGACCATGTATGATATGATTCTGGAAGGCACTGAAGGGGAAAAAAGAAACATGTTCTGTTAAGGGTCTTGAAGTTAAAGAGTTACGCCACCAAGATTCCAGAGTCTTCGCTACTCGCACGATTCTCATGTCGTGTCCGTTGAGAATGTCTCGGCCGAAATCGAGCTTCAAGGAAGTCAGACAAGATCTGCAAATCCTCCTGGAACTCCTTGATGGTCTTCTCCCTTGGACGGAAATCCATGGAGTCCTCAACATCTCCTTCACTCAGTGCCTTCCTTTCGACAATCTCTGGGCTGGTGGTGGCAAAGCTGGGTTGCGACTGCGTCCTGCGGAGCCGGTTTCGCCCGAGCTCGAGCGGGGCGGCTGTCCCCAGCTCGAGCAACCCCTCATCGGGGAACTCCTTCCCGCTCATCGGCTCTTTCCAGGTCGGCCAAAAGCTGCTGGGTGAGAGCTGCTGAAGTGCATGTGTAATTGCAGCCAAAACAGCTGCTTCTAATGGGTTCCCCTCAAGGCTGAGCTCTGCCAAGGGGAAGTGCCGACGATATCCTGACATTTGCCAGGAAAGGAAAGAGAAAAGGAGCAATGCGGGAAACAAATGGAAGAAAAGGACCTGCATTGGAGCTACCTATGAAGAGTTGCTTGACAAAAGCATGTTGGAACGTTATACAATGAAATTGGAGCAAAGAAAGATGAATGTCGTTCTCCCAGTATGCAAGACATGTAGATTGGCATCGAGCTCACTCAACCCACTCGATTTCGATTCTGATGGATCCAGTTGCACCTGCATGAAGATTTGCGAGCTCTGATCGCAGCATCTGCTGAAGGGGCCGCAAATCATCACGCCGCAAGCCCATGTATCTGCAGTATTGAAACTCTAACTTTGAATGAACCCTTCTTGAGAGTATCTTGCTAATCTCAAACGACCTAACTTATCTACCTATATAATATGCTGAAGGCGTACAGTCGTACACTAGAAATTAGGTTGGAGAACATGTGCACAGGACGGCGAGGTGAGTTCCGGTCAAGGGTGGACTTTCAGTGGCAATTTCTGCAGAGTCGTTTCTTGGGGGGCTATACCCCAAACACGTTGGCGCAGGGTCGTCGGTCGAAGGTCAAGTTCCAAGTACAAGTACCAGTACAACCAGAATTGGTTTGCAGGTCCAGTTCAAGTTTCAAACACTCCATCATGCAGGGCTGTGTTGTCCACTGAAAGTTCCGTCCCATTGCTGCAAAGCAGTTCCATACAAGATTATAAGGACAAAGTACTACTAGCGAAATGTGTAAGGGAAATGGGCGCGCTGGGCAGTGGCTGAATAATGCTGAATACCTGTACAGAGATTTGGTTGCCGGAATGTCCCTCACCCACGATGGTGTCATGTACACAATAGATTCACCATAAACAGTCAAGAAGAATATGCCCACAGCAGACTTCAGGATCCCAGATCTGGTTGCACATCTGGCACTGTAGCTGTCAAGGTGCCTTAAGCGAACCTTTTTTTACCAGCAGGCCATTTCTCAAAGCCAAACAAATCACTCTGAGCAGGTCTTCTCTGCCTGTAGCAACGAGCTGAGGAAGCGAAACCAAACCCGACATAAGCCACCGCGCAGCTAGCAAAATTCCATGGAGTTGGAGTTGATATTACGACAACGTGGTACAAACGGTTTACGCACTTCGATGTTCTTGTATCGTTAGATACTGCACCAAAGGCCGCAAATTGAAAAAATACATTGAACCAAAGTCAAGTAATAAAGCATATTAATTTCTCTGGCGAACACAACTAGCTATGCACCTCTCAAGAAGGAACAGCGGTCATTTAGCAAAGCTGCTGATTGGCATTACGCTTTGCATCTCTCGCCGTTGCCAAGGTCCTGAGATCTCAAGCAAGCAGGGCTACGACAGCTACGAGTGAGTCCGAATGAAACACAAACCCAGTATATGCTGATCCATGCATCACAAAACACATGAGCTCTTACAATCTTTTACACGCCTTTCGATGTGACTATGCGAGCGCTTGTAATTCCTCATTAAAAAAATCACGCAAACCACAGCAACAATTTGGTATATCAGAAGTTGACACAGTTAAGATTGCATAAACTTGGTGAGTGGCGTCACAGCCAAGGCTCGCAGGGTTCGATTGGATCGCCTTGCGCCCAACCAGGGATTCTTGGAAAGGTCGAGCACATTCAGAGGAACCACCTTCCAACATCCATGCCATTGCACAAATGAACAGCTAATATAACTAACAAATTGTATCAAAATTGTACTTAGGTTTCACATGTTGTTTTTCCTGCGTCGTTTTCCGAGGATTGGTCCCAGGCAGGTTACTATGCCCTGACTGTGTAATCACAAACTGACTATCACCATACTTTTCAATGTGCAGCATGAGTGCAGGACAAGGTCTGTTATCGAACCTAAAAACATAGCCTAAACTGGATCGGACTCCACAAATTGCATCATTGCATCAACCTTGCCATAGTTCGGCATGCCAACAGTGAAGGCACGAATTA